TTTCTCTTTTAGGCCTACCCTCGGCCAACCTTCCTTTCGTTTTCTCATACCCTTCCTTATTCTTCATTATTCTCTCTTACCTCCAACTTTTGTAATCAATAGAAAACAAAAAAAAAAAAAAAATTATTATAATAAACAATATTATCTTTAACTTTTCAACAAATTTTATTAATATATTTTTACATTATTAACAAATTAAAATAATAAAAATGAAGTTTCTCTCGTTCGTTGCAGCTATTCTTTTAATTACTTGTACGGCGAACGCTGCCGACCATAAGAAACCCAGTCCTACTAGTGGTAATCCCCCGGCCGCTGCTTCTTCCGCACCGCAACCAAGCACTACGGTGACAATCAATGGCACGCAACAAGTATTTCCTGCTCTCGATCAAACACCCGATACAAATGATCCTGAATTCCAAACATATTTGAAGGGATTAGATTTAAGTCAAGTTCCAAACCTTCCACGTTCTAATGGTGGTGTGATCAATCATAATCAACCCAGTTGCAATGGTTCAACCCAAATCGATCAAAACCAGGGATCTTGGACCTGTCAAAAGTATACTGCTTCCGATGATATTCAACAATGTCCAACAGTAGGAAATTGGGGGGTAACTTATGATGATGGCCCATCGGTGGCGACGCCGTTGATATTGGATGAACTAGATCAATGCAAATTGAAAGCCACGTTCTTTGTCGTTGGTAGCCGCGTAGTTTCTAATCCTCAGATTCTTTTAGACACTTGTAAAAGAGGTAATAATTTTTATTATAACGCGTAATTTAACCTCATTCAACTTCTAAATTATATTCTTTAATTGTAGGTCACCATATCGCTGTGCATACTTGGTCCCATCCTGCTCTTACTTCTCTTTCCAACGAACAAGTTGTTGCTGAACTATATTGGACAATTAAGGTATTTGAATTTCTACATATAAGTGGGTTTTCTTAAACACTTTGTAATTTTATCTAAATTTTAATTTATTTCGTTTAGGCTATCAAAGAAGTTTGTGGCATCACTCCTATATACTATCGTCCTCCATTTGGCGATACTGACAATCGCGTTCGTGCAATTACACGTGCCATGGGTTTAATAAGTATGTTTTTATTTATTTCTTTATTTATTTTAAATATTTTCATTTATTCACGTTAATATTTATGTTATTATTATTTTATTTTGAACACAGCTGTTCTCTGGGTTCCGAACTTTGATAGCAATGATTGGCAACTTACCTCCGTCCCACCTGCACCAATCGACGTTGTAATCAATACTTTTCATAATTGGACGCAAATATTCCCGACTATGTCTACAGGATTTATTGTTCTTCAACATGATCTTTATAATCAAACAGTAAAGGCTGCAATTGAAGTCCTAAAATTAGCTATCAATGTTAAAGATTTAAAGATGACTACGATCCCTGAATGTATAGGAGATACCAAACCTTACGTAGAACTTGGAGGTAGAGAGAATAATGAAGAATAAGGAAGGGTATGAGAAAACGAAAGGAAGGTTGGCCGAGGGTAGGCCTAAAAGAGAAA